GGGGGGGGTGAGGGGGGGTGTCAGGAAGCTGAGTTAGTGTGTGCAGGGTGGCAGAAGTGGGAGAGGGGGCTGAGGGGGGGCAGGCAGAGAGTTCAGCATCCTCACGGCCTGATGGACGGAGCTGTTCCACAGTCTGCTGGTCCTAGAACTGAGGCTACGCAGTCTCCGCCCTAATGGCAGCAGGTTGAAGAAGCAGTGTAGCGGGTGGTCAAGATCTCCCACCCAGCAGAGGGCTTTACTTCTGAGGCGAGAGCTGTGGAGGTCCTGAAGGCAGGGGAGAGAGGTGCCAATGATCTTCTCAGCTGTCCTCACGATCCGCTGGAGGGATTTGCGGCAGGATGCTGTGCAGGCCCCGTACCACACAGTGGAGCAGCTCATCAGGATGCTCTCGATGGCCCCCCTGTAGAAGGTTGTCATGATGGGGGTGGGGGCTCTCGCTCTTCTCAGCTTGCGGAGGAAGTAGAGCCGTTGGTGAGCCTTTTTGGCCACTGCTGCTGTGTTGATGGTCCAGGAGAGGTCCTCAGAGATGTGCACACCCAAGAACTTGGTGCTGCTCACCCTTTCCACAACAACACTGTTGATGGATAGTGGAGCATGTTTTGTCTGAGTTCTCCTGAAGTCCACAACAATCTCCTTGGTCTTCTCTGTGTTCAGCAAGAGATTGTTGCGTTTGCACCAGGAGACCAGCCGGCTCACCTCGCTCCTGTAGAGTGACTCATCGTTATTGCTGATGAGGCCTACCACAGTCGTGTCGTCCGCAAACTTGATGAAGAGGTTGGAGGGGTGTGATGGAGAGCAGTCGTAGGTTAGTAGAGTGAACAGAAGGGGGCTCAGCACACATCCTTGTGGGGCCCCCGTGTTCAGAGTGATGATGCTGGATGTGTTGCTGCCAACCCGTACTGCCTGTGGTCTTCCGGTAAGGAAGTCAAGCAGCCAGTTGCACAGTGATGTGTTCAGACCCAGACTGTCCAGTTTCCAGATGAGTTGTTGTGGAATGATTGTGTTGAATGCAGAACTGAAGTCGATGAAGAGCATTCTGACATAGGTGTCTTTCTTGTCCAGATGTGTGAGGGCTGAATGAAGAGCAGTGGCGACGGCATCATCAGTCGAGCGGTTTGACCGATATGCAAACTGGTAGGGGTCCAGGGAGGGGGGGAGGGAGGACCTAATGTGTTGCATGACTAGTCGCTCGAAGCACTTCATGAGGATGGAAGTGAGTGCAACCGGGCGGTAGTCGTTGAAGCAGGAGGGAGACGTTTTCTTGGGGACAGGGATTATGGTGGTGGTTTTGAAGCACGTGGGGACCACAGCCTGGCTCAGTGAGGTGTTGAAGATGTCAGAGTACACCTCTGCTAATTCGCCAGCGCAGTCCTTCAGCACGCGACCAGGTATGTTGTCGGGACCAGGAGCTTTCCGAGCGTTGGTCTTGCTGAATGCTCTCCTCACCTTGTCCGGGGACAGTGTGATCACCTGGTCTCCAGGAGGGGGGGTGGCTTTTTGTGCAGGTGTGCCATTCTGTGCCTCAAACCGAGCGAAGAACCTGTTCAGGTCATTCAGCAGGGAGGGGGTGCTGTCACAGGTCTGTGGAGAGGGTTTGTAGTCTGTAATGGACTGAATTCCCTGCCACAGGCTCCGAGAGTCTCTGCTGTCCTTGAAGTGTTGGGCTATTTTCTTGGAGTGCTGCCTCTATACACATATATAT